GTACAATTCGATTGATATGTTTTTGTTCTCCGAATTTTGAGATCAACATATACTTGATTAGTTATTACTAAGCTCAACAACCATGTATTCGAATGCAAAATATGAACCGGTGCTAGAGCTGGTGATAAGGTTCTTATTCATAAGCTCAAAATCATACCATCCGATTTGATGGTACCTTTCAAGTTTCAGCGCAGGCAGTTTCTGCTCATGGTTTCCTATGCTATGAGAGTCAAGGACAATTCTGTCGCACACCAGCTTACTACTGAAGAGCCCTGTATTTAGCCATGAATAATTGTACGTGGCGCTTTCTAGAGTTACGAACCGAAGGGGTTTGAAGATAATGATTTGTGCTGATGGAGATCCTGACGATTAAAAAACCATGAATGTTGCGCATAAAGAAGTGTTTAATAATATTTAATTTAAAAAAAAAAAACATTTTTTTCGATGATTATGTTATAATTTTTAATATTGTTTCTAATTTTTTATTATTTTATTCTTTATCATATAAATTTCTGTGCAAATGCATTTACAACTAGTAAATAATGAATTTTATAAGGAAAGCATATTGTACTATACAGTGACTACTAGTTGGAATTTTCCCCTTTTCTAGTCGGGTGGGCGTCCAACCATTAAGACCCCAACTTTATAAAAAAATTAATTTAAATTTAATCCCCTTTAATATTTTTTTTTTAAAAAAATATATCTAACGATACATTTGCTGTCTCTATGTATCAGAATTTTCTATGGCCCCACATGTGACACCATATTATGGTGCCACAAAATGATGACATTATAATTGATACCACAATTATCACACATCATATGTGATAGTGACACCAATCATAATGTGTCATATCATTTTGTGGCACCATAATATGGTGCCAGGTATCGTAGAATTTCTGCTCTATGTATCCCTGTCACATTCTCTCTTAAATAAAATTCTACAGGCGACCGTTTGTTGACTTTCTTCAACCATATCATTATTGTAATTTCGAGTTTTCTGTTACTTCTCTCAATATTAACCCTAACCGGAATCTGACAAAAAAAAAAAAATAAAAAATCATCCCATAAATTCGACGATTTGTCTTTGTTCCTGGCCAATTTCAGTGTTCATCGCGGTTGATTGCTGTTGTTTAACCGAGTTTTAGACGGCGGATTTAGCCGTGTTTTGTCTGCTATCGGCGATTTGCTTGTAGGGTTTTTGGGAAGGAAATTAGGAGAGATGTTTAATGGAATGATGGATCCGGAATTGATGAGGATGGCTCAGGAGCAGATGAGTCGCATGTCACCGGCTGAATTTGCTCGGATACAGCAGCAGGTACTTGATTTCCTGTGTGTGTGATTTAGGTATTTCGAGAGAATTTTGTGAATTTTATCTTCGTTTTGGGGGATGGTTGCGTCATTAGTTGGTTTGTCTTGTCATTTTGACGGGGAATCTAGTAAGTAATACTCGATCCAGCTCGATCCAGCGCATAATCTGTAGTTATTCTGGTTGCGGATGAATCAGTGGTTATCTTTTACATCTGGGATGGATAACGGATTGTAGTTTCAGTGTATTTATTTCGGAATTCGGTTTCTCGATTCTGTTAAATGCCAAGTCTTGTGTGGATTCAAATTGCATGGATGTGAAGAATTTCGAGTCTCTATGTGTGTGTGTGTGTGTGTGTGTGTGTGTGTGTGTCCCTTCTTTTCATTTGAGTTCCTGGAATAGTTTTGTTCTCACTGCAAATTCATTTTCACTCAGATGATGTCAAATCCGGAGTTGATAAGGATGGCTTCTGAGAGCATGCAAAACCTGAGGCCTGAAGATTTCAAGCAAGCTGCAGAGCAATTGAAGCATACTCGTCCTGAGGAGATGGCTGAGATTGGTGAGAAGATGGCAAAAGCTTCACCCGAAGAATTAGCTGCCATGAAGGCTCGGATGGATGCGCAGGTGCATTATGAAATAAATGCTGCTGAGATGTTGAAAAAACAGGTAACTCCAAACCTATATAAAATTCACTTTCTCCGATTCTTTTTTCTTGTATGAGTCTCTTTTGGGTTCAACCTGAAGAATTCCTACTTTTACTGTTCCATGGTCGACACATGGAACCTAAGGGTTTATTTCCATCACTTCTCTTGTATTTGGTAAGTTTGGTGATGGTCTGAAGTTCAAGTTTCAGGCGAGGAGATCATGTTTAGGTTGATGCCTTAAGTAGTTTCTATATACTAAGATTAAATGTTTTCTCATATTGCTTAAGGATCGTGTTACCATTTGCTGCTTCTGCTCTAATTGATTTAGTTTTTCTGGGTGCAGTATTTCATGCACTTAAAAGTTATTTCTGACTGCAGTCTTTATATACCTATTGTGTCTGTAGTATGCATGCTACATCATATGAAGCACGTAGTGTACGCCCAGACACTTGCATTTTGCTGCCTTAACATAGAAAATCACTTGTAGCAATAATATAATAACTAGTATTCAACCTGTGCATTTGCACAAATATATAAATAAAATATTGTGAGTTATTTGTATATACATATAATGTTTATTAATTTTTGTTAAATTTACAACTAAAGGAGCTGAAATATTTAAATTTTTAAA